GTGACTATCACTTGAAATATTTTGGGATGTATTAATAGATCAGGTTCTTTCTAACAACCCAAAAGCTATGAAAGTGATCAGATAACATCTAAAACCTACAGCATGAATTTCCCAGCTTTGCTGTGACTGATCTATCTGATGTCTTCATCAATGTATTCAAGGACACATTTTTGTTGTTGTTCTGTAACAACAAAACTTCATGAAGTTTCATGAATGAAACTACTGCCATGTATTTGGTGTATGCCATATACATGGTATTTGGGGAAACCTGAATATGTGTTCCCAGGCTACGGTCACTCATACTTGGATCTATAATAAAACATTTTTTATTCCCTTTGAGGTGAAAGCTTCGTTTTTACATCAATACAGAAAAAGGCTTACAGACAAAGGAAATAGTATCTCTAGAAAATCTTGCTGAGTTCAGAAGTGGCTAGGCATTTTCTTTGATTTTAAATACATAATATAAGTAGAGTTTATTTGGTTTTGAGTTCACAAGTGACTAGGCATCTTCTTTAATACTAGGTACATAATAACATAAATAGAGCTTATTTGATTTTTAGATCCATTTTTTGCTAACACAAGAATGTTTATATTATAAAGTTATTCAAATTTGTATTGTTCAGCACAATTATAGGAGACCAATGACATCTAAAATTTTGTAGGCAAAACTGGCCTACCAAATTGAAAGGAAAAGAAAAAACTGTATTGTATGATGAGTCTGGTCATTTCCTATGTAGTCAAATATTACACCTTGAGTATAAAAGTATTAGCTAAATCAGATTACTCGGGTTTATACTTCTCAATAAAAGAAGCATAAAAAGCTTAAAACAGAGTAACAAAAGCTGTGATCCTATCAAAAGGCTGCATTTCAAGAGGAAATTTAAAATAACTGTATGGGGGCTGGAGAAATGGCTCAGCAGTTAAGAACATGGGCTGCTCTTGCAGAAAACCTGGGTTTGATTCCTTCACCCACTTGGCAGCTAACAACCACCTATAACTCCAGTTCCAGGGGAATCTGACCTTGCTAGGTATTGCACATGGGTGCTCTTAAATACATGCAGGCAATACAATCATACACATAAAATAAAAATAATAAAATACTTTCATGATTTAAAAGATTGTATTTAATGTTATAAAAACAAATTATGAGAAAATATAAAGATTTCGTGGTTTTCAGAAGTTTCTGTCTTTTTTTGGAGCTGGGCACTGAACCTAGCCACTGGGCTACAACAAAACCCTGAAAGCTTTCCTATAATGGTTATTACTAACCACTCTCCCCCCACATCACTGTAGTGGTTACCCAACACATATCCGCATTTTATTCTCAGAATATGACATCACCTACTATTTCATATAGTCAACAGAATACAACAGGCAAGAACTTCTATTACTTGCTACTAAACACATATACAATGTTTCCTCCTGTCCCTTCCTCCTATTATAAAGGAAATGGTATCCCTCCCACTGCCTAAGATTAAGTTCCTCACTTATGCTTTAACTTCCACCTGGCTGCTTGGCATGAATTATCCTTTAGTTTAGTTTAATCTTTGATGTCTTTCTTCAGCATTTAAACAGAGTTGCGGAGCTTTCAAGTAAAAAAGGAAATAAAATCAATTCTATGTCCCTGAAGCTTTTGTCTCTTCGTGGACAAATCCTCAAATCCCTGGCCACACCTACCTCTTTGACATTTCCTTTTCTTCACCTTTACTCCCAACTTACTCCACTGTAATGTGACTCTCACCTTCAAGTCTTGTCAAAAGTCACTCCTGCCCCTCCCCTTGTTAGATCCAGGGTATATTTCCTACCTCACCTTAGTTGGGTAGCATTCATTGTAACTTCCTCCTAAGTGCCCACTTCCATTGGATTTCATGACCTCCTGGCTTTCTTTCCACCTGTCTGGAACTTACTCTCAGCTTTTCGGAGTTCCTTTACTCTGTCAATCCTTTAAGTCACTGATGATCACCAGAGATCTCTAATAGGTACTTTTCTATATTATACAGGGCAACTACATTTTCCTTAATACAGTCCAGTCCTGAGAGTTAATACTGATTGTCAACCTGACAGGATCTAGAATCGTCTAGCAGAAAAACCTTTAAGCAAGCTTGTCAGGAAGTTTCTAGATTGAATCAACCATGTGGAAAGCCCCACCCTAACTGTGGGTGCCACCATTCCATGGACTGGGGTCCTGGGATTAAATAAAGCAGAGAAAGTGAGCCAAGCACAAGCATTCTCCCTCTGCTTCCTGACTATGGATGCAATGTGACCAGCTACCTCACACTGGTTGCCTTGGCTTCACCATGAAGAACTATACCCTCACACTGTCAGCCAAGATAAACCCTTCCTTCCTCAAGGTGCTTTTGTCCAGGAGTCTGCCACAGCAGCTGGAGAGGCAATAATACAACACCCAGATTTGGATGGATCTGAAAAAATAAGTTATTTCTTGAACTGAGTCTTTTTTACTTGCTGTTTTAGTTTTTGCTGAAGGTTAGTTACAATACTCTGTGGATGCAATTTTCTAAGATTCAAATTCTGAATCAGGATATGAAAATGTTATAACCTTGAACTTAAATTTTAAAAAGCTATTGCTTAATTATGCAACTGTAATTCTTTTTAAGACTTGGACATTTTCAAAAAATGAACAACAATCAATTAGAATGAAGGTATATAATAGTTTTTCATCTTTGCTTATATAATCTCCATTCAAAAATATTATACACATATCATAATTGATTTTCCCTGTAATTCTGCATATGTAATTTGGAAGCAGTATAAGTTGTGGGTGAGAAAACACAGGGTTAGAAGACAGTACATTAGTACACCATTGTCAATTCCTCCAGCAGTACACAAGACTTACACATGTGCACACGTGTCTTTATCCAGATGATAGCTGTCTCTCTCAACTTTCACTCTCTTTGGAGGGCCTCAATGATACTAAATAAAAAGTGGGGTAAAATATTGACATTTGGATGCTTCCTTTAATGAAGATAAAATCTAGGGTATGGCTCATAAGAACCAACCAACCTATAAGCAAAAAGATTCCTAAAACTGTAATACAAAAAGATTAGCATTAGAATTAAATTAGGGTCTGTCAGGTTTAAATTCAGACTAATAGCAGTTCCAGAAAACAAGAACAGAAACAGTGGGGAAATGGTAGAAGAAAATTTCACACAAAACTCTTAGATACAAATTTCCATATCGTAAAGTTCTTATGTACTCAGCATGATCAGTGAAAGAAATGTCTAAACTCAAGCTCATTATCGTGAAAATTTCAATCCTCAGAGGTAAAGATTATAATATTTTTCAGAGAGAGAAAACAATGTCACACACAAAAGGTATGACAATTAGAATGCAGAATGAGACACTTTGGGAAGTGTAAGACATAGGACTTTAGCATCATTTGAGTTCTAAAACAATATACAGGAAATTTCATATATACAAAGCAATGATGACTTAAGTAAACAAAAACTTGATAACAAAGGGCCTGGGGATATAGTTCAGTGGTAGAACATTTGTGCAGCACACATGAAGCCCCAGACTGTACTCAGAGTACCACAAAAATACATGAATAAAAACACATAAATTGAATACTTCCTGCACACTAGGTGTACTTTTCTGTTTCAAATGTTATTTAACTCTCATAAAACACCCTTGGAGCCCCTTTTACACATAAGGGAACAGACACTCAGACATTAATAGCCTAAAATGGCAGAAACAGTAAGCAACAAAGGCAGATTTTTGGTTTTCTAAGTGCAATCTTGTAACTCTCAACTCTAAAGTTAATTTTTAAATGGAAGGAAAGAAAACACTATTTGCATGTTCACTACCTTGCTAATCTGTTTCCAGATCGACTACAGTTGATTAAAAATTTTGACACGGTCAATCAAGACACAAAATCCATGCTACTTTCCTACTTAGGCCACAGGGTTTGGGGCAGGGGGAGCGGGACACTGAAGGTTGAGAATATTTGCTAGTACATTTAACTACTTAGTGTGCTTGTGATTTAGTGTTAAACAAAGGTGTACAAAGTAGATTTCCTAACTTAAATGTACTGACAAGTTTAAAAAAAAAAGCTATGTACTTAATCACTGTATCTTTAGCAGCTTAGAGACTTTATTAAGGTTAAAAACAGTATAGCTGCTTCTTTTCTAAATTATTTCCATCTAACCTTTAACATTCTTCTAGTCTTGCAAGGAAAATATTCCCTACACAATTTTCTAAGTTATTTACTTAACAATACAGTGCTGTGACAAAAACATCACACTCCTTTACACTTGTCTGACAGTTTTCCCATGACAAGCTACATGACACACGAACACTCACATGCTTTCTGCAGGAGTTAAGTAAGCTTCATTCATTCTCTGTTCTGCTAGTCTTCTGATTTGTTTTACCTACTTCAGGGACTCTGGTTTTAATGAAAGAAAAAGGGAGACATGTACTATTTTGAACAGCAACTTTTTTTTTTTCTTTTCCAATCTGGCAACATCTTTACTTTAGGGCTAGTGTTTCTCCCCTTGGGACTTCCAAACACTAATGTGGGATATTATGAGATCAAAAGGTACCCTCAAAACACATCCTGCACTGGCTTTTCTGGACCAGTTCCTCATGCCTTGCCCAGCTCCCTTCTCACATCCATGCAGCCCTCCACTGTTTCTTTTGTTTCTCAAGCCTGTCATGTCCTTCATGTGTGACACATGTGTGGCGAGGCGGGAAGGGGGTTGGTTTGGATTTTGGCTGCTCCAGGGTTGGGGCAGCAATCTTTGATGCATCAGCAGGCATCATCCACAGCCTGCCAGCACCACGTGAATAGGGACGCCTGGCACAGACCTCCGAGATGCTACAGGAGGTTTCCCCACGGCAGCCACTGAATTCACAATGTTTCCACCCCCTCCCAAGTCAGGTGTCTTGGCGACCTGCAAGCTCAACTTCCCTGCGTAGGTGGGACACCTGGCAGCCCAACCCTCGGGCGTCACCTGCGGCGCGCACGCGCTAACTCCACGTACCGTCTCCTTGGCAGCGGCCACCGGGATGGGCAGCAGCCCCCGGCCGCTGGGCGGGTCCTCGGGCTCTGAGGCCGCGCTCGCGGAGGGCTCGCCCCTGGAATCCCCATACAGCTGGTAGCACACGAGACCGACCAGACCCCCGCCGGCCGCCGCCGCGATGCTCAGCTCGCCCCAGCGCCGCCGCCGCCGCCACGCTGCCTCCGTCACGGCCCCCTCGTCATCCTCGCGGCAGCAGAAAGGCCGGCCAGGCAACCCCGGGGCTGTCCCCGCAGGCCGCCCCCACGGCGCGAGGAAGGGCTGCGGAGGGGACAGCCGGGGCGGCGGCCACAGGAGCCTCCGCAGTGCAGCCATAGCGGGAGCTGCGGGCCCAAGCTGGGATGGGTGGGGTGGGGTGGGGGGAGCTGAAACCTCGCGAGAAGTCGGTGCGAGACCTCCGCGGGACCAGGCGACCCCGGCCTCCCTGGGGATCCGGCTGACGCGCACCCTGGGAAGCCCGGGAGAGACCCCGAGAGGAGCCTGGGAACCGCGGAGTGTCCCGGCAGACTCCAGCCCGACCGTGCAGTCATAAATAAGGGCGGTACTGGCAGCTCGAGGAGCGAGCCAGCACCGGGGAGAGGCCAGCACGGGGACCGCGGGTCAGCGGAACTCCAGGAGCCCGGGCTGCGGGGCGACCCGGGTCCACACCCCGGCTCCCAGGCTTGGGTCCAGCGCCCTACCGCGGCCGGATCATTGACACCTTGGGAGCGATTTGCAGTGATCACGTGTACGAAGACGTAAACATTTGAGTCATAAAGACTGCAGTTTATAATAGAAATCCTTTGACCAATGAGGCCTTCTGTACTTTTCACAAGGGCAGGATAATGTTTGAGAATCACTGATACATACCTGGGCTCACTCCATTTAACAAGTCAAAACCAAGTACATGAAAGAAAGGATTCTCCAAATTCTGAAGAAACAAAAATCTTAGCAAATATGCTCTCTGTTTTTGTGGAAGGCTGTTGGTGTAAATTCAAGAATTGAGGAGCCTAGTCTATTTTTGTGTTGGTTACGTTTTTTATACGTTGTCAGTTTATGAGATGGTGTCTTTGATATTCTTAGCAATTTTACACCCCTGACTCCAGTTTTGGTGACTGAGATTTATTTGCTCTGGTTTCCATGGTGTGGAGTGGTACAAGGAGCCCCTAAGATGTTTTTTTAGGTCTAGACAGCAAAGTCCAGTAGTTCAGTTGGACTTCAGTGACAAGGGATAGTAAGACCAATTGATATGGAAATTCTTAACTCAAACTAAGGGCTTTCAGAGACAACCAAAATGAAGTTTTCTGGCCTAGATCCTGCTGTTTCTCTGCCTCAGTAACCCTTTCCTGCAAGTAACCTATCAGATATGCCGCATAAGATCTTGCTTGATAGGCTGATAGAAGTTTGCCTCCTTAAAGCTACTAAAAATGGTAAAAAGAAATGTCTATGACATATAAGGATAATATCTATTTTAGGATATCTATTTTTCCCCCCTAAGCCTGTTAATGGCACAAAGAAAACTCGGTGGTAGCTCTTTACTTTTCAGGAAGTTTTCCTCAATTTCTGCCGTTTCGGAATTCTGACATTTTAGTTTTCTCAACACATTTACTTTCTGAAACTATATAGATATGGCCATATATGTATGCGTATAAGAGTTGTTTTCTCTGAGCTGGGCAGAATTTTCTGATTTTCTCATAAATTTCCAATGTGACCACTGCCAAAAATCTTGGGCAGACTAATGAATTTTTATTAGTTGCTTGCCCGGTGTTGTGGCACATGTGTTTAATCCCAGCGCTTGGGAGGCAGAGGCAGGTGGATCTTTGTGAGTTTGAAGCCAGCCTGGTCTACATAGTTCCAGGTCACCAGCTCAGGATACAGGGAGACCCTGTCTCAAAAAGACAAAAAACAAAACAAAACAAAACAAAAAACCAAAAAAAAAAAACTTTGAAGGGTCTAAAGAGATATAGGAAAGTAATACTGCCATTACAAGAAAACAAAAATGTTGGCTGCAAGAAGCTAAATGCTGTTTGTAAGAGGTACTGGGATTAGATCTGTAGTGTATTCATGTTTTGGATTAAAATGTTTCTATGTACAGAAGTTAGAATTCTAACTTTTCAAAATATTTTTGTTTTAAAACTTGAATTTCAGTCAGGCGTGGTGGTGCATGTCTTTAATCCCAGCACTTGGGAGGCACAGGCTGGCAGGTATCTGTGAGATGGAGGCCAGCCTGGTCTAATAGGGAGTTCCAGGCATCTGGAGCCACAGGGAGACCCTGTTTCAAAAAACAAACAGCAACAACTTGAATATCCTTAAGAATAGACATAGTTTCTTCTTGTGTTATATGCTGTAACTATAGCTACAGAAAAACAGCCAAAATACTATGCTGTGTGGGTGTTTTTCCAAGTAATTCTCAAAGGAAAAGTGATAAGAAAATAGAATATTAGGAATTTGGAACACTTCGAAATTTCAGATTCTATTTTTGGATCATTATGGATTTAGATCTGTTTCCTTCCTCTTTATGTCAATTCTAAAGAAACTCAGTGAACCCACCACTCCCAAGCCCTTACTCCATAGTGAGAGCCCAACCTTGCAAAGAAATGCCCACTTGTGTTTGCTATGATCTGAGTAAAACGACATATTCTGAAATGTTAAAAGTATTTTAAACAGACCTCAGCTCTCATCAGAGAAAGTTCTTGCAGCAGATGGTGATTAACACAGAGACTTACAAATAGTCAATGTCCACAAAATGTGGAGTGTTCAGACCTAAATGGGACACCTGTATCCCACCTTCTCCTCCAAAGGCTCAGGGATCATTGTTTAAGAGGGGCCTGAAAGACTGTTAGAAGCAGAGGTGGTAGATGGATACAAGGAAATTGTGTTGCCTGGATACCACAGGGCACTTGCATATATGGACTCACAGCACTTATGACAGCATGCACAAGGCCTGTGCAAACCCAAACCACACAGGCCCAGCATGGATGGGGAACGTGGGCAGGAAGCCCCAGCCTTGAGAATTTATTGGCAACTTATGGATGCTGGGAGAGGGAGAGTCAATTTTCCTTACTGGTGTGCCACCTGCTAGATTGACCAGGCTCCAGGGCGTGGACACATACCCAGAACACTTGAGGGGTATGGCTTGGAATTGATTGGCCTTTGAAAAACAAAAATTAAACAAATAAAATAGATAATAATGGAGGTCATGAAATGGGGAGGTATAATGGGAAAGGGTTGGAGATGGGGAAGAGATCCGAATGTAATCAAAATAAATTGTATGAAATTCTGAATCAATAAAAACTTATGAAAATATTAAACACCAAGGATTGTCAGAAGAGAGTCTCAAGGAAAGTGTCCATCTCAGTAGATTAGTAAGTAAAGTCAACAGTTCTATACTCTAGTCCTGACTGTGCTGCAGCAATTACAGTGTTTTGGAGATCACAGTTCCTCACAAAATAGTGGAGTTAAATAGATGATTCATTTTATGAATCTGTATTGTTTCATCACACATATGCACACATCCATACATATGTACTTCATAGCATTTTTTTGCAACTCTAGGGTTCATGTCATCTATCATATATAGCTCTTCAAATTAAGAATTGCCCTATGATTACCTTCTTTCTTTCAACTTAAAAGTCCCATCTCCTGACCTAATTAGCAATTTTTACTTCTTGATAATGTGAAATTCAAGTGTACCAGGAAAAACTAGCTTAAGGAAACTTCTATGATTACAGACCATTTGCCTCATTTTGCTCACTCTGAGTTCCCAAATCTTGACTAGCTGAGAGAGGAGCACATGCTGAGTGCAGGCATGTGAACCCTCACTCTCTGGTTCACTCAGTCCCTCAGGGAGGAGTCTACCAACCAAACACTACTAGCATGACTGCAGCAATTGTCTCTTTGTAAAGTTGTACAAGCATCCTCAATCTTTGAGGCTACATTACTTAGAGGCAGTTTGTATTCTATGTGGTCCTTTCTTGGGTTTTGTTCTTTGAGCTTGCCACCAGGACCTGGAACCCAATTGTAGGTAATTAAAGTCAAGAAATATAGACTCTAGTCCTGACTTAATTACTAAGAGTTTGGAAAGCAAGTTACTTAAGGCACTAAAGATCTATTTTTAAATTTGACTAGTTTCCTCTTTCAAGGGCAAAAATTTGTACCCTTTCCCTTCTTTTTTGACTAAGCTGTATCTGAGCAACATGAAGTCAGAACATTTATCTAACCTGGCTCTGCTCACATAATGGACACATGATAGGACCTCAACAGTATTAATTAAAATGAAGGAACTTAGTATTATTGTGAGGTCGGGACGGAAGGGGAATCAGGAGATACAGAAATAAGAGTAGTCCTTTTATATATGTTACACTGAAACAAAAAGTTCATATTAAATTAAAAAAAACAGATTTACTTCCCGAAAACCAAACAACACATCTAGAGATGTGATTTATTCAAATCGGAGGCTATGATAGCTAATCTTGATTGTCAGCTGGACAAGATTTAGAATTACCTAGGAGATATCCTTGTGTGTGTGTGTGTGTGTGTGTGTGTGTGTGTGTGTGTGTGTGTGTCTGTGAGGGTGTCTCCTGAGATGATTAACTGAGGGGCAGTGGAGATCTGCCCTCAAAGTGGGCAACACCTTACAGCAGGTGACCCAGATATAAGGAGGTCTCAAGAAAAAGAGTTGTGTACCTGCCAGCCCTTGCTGCTTCTTCCTGAGGCCATGTGTCTACTGCTGCTGCCACCATTGCCCCACCAACACCAGACTCCAGCTTCTTCAACATTCCAACGTGGACTGAACAGCACCTTTCCAGGGAAACATCTGGACCTTCAGTGCCAGTTTGGGACAACTGAGACATCCAGCTTTGTGAACTGAGAATGTACCAGGGTTTTCAGCCTCTGTAGCATGCAGACAGCCATTGTTGGACTACCTAGCTCCTATCATGAAAGCCAACCCAATAAATACACTTTTAGTACTATACATGCATTTTATTGGTTTTGTTCTTCTAGAGAACCATACTTAGTATAGAGGCCAAAGGGAGAAACGAAGGTGTTGGCAATGAAGGATTAGAGGTGGGATGTGAGAAGAAGGGTTAATTCAAGGACAAGTTTTGTAATTTTGAGATTTTATTACTGAGGTTAGCACCTTAAATATTATTTCACACAACTGTTTTGGACTACTGCCTTAGTCTCAGTTCTTTTGATCCCTAAGGAAGTCCAGCATTGTCTGTGGCCAAAGGTCACTGGCCTGACTGGTCACATTTCCCTTTCTATTCTATTAGCAAAAACCAAGTTGTCAATAATGCACCTGGATAATCTAACATCGTTACACCCATCTGGGGTTTTTAATGTAATTTTTAAGGTCTCTACTACTGGTGCGTTATTCCTCACTTGCTTTTGTGTTGCTTAAAACTCCTCTGTCTTTGCTTACCACTTAGTGGCAGGGATCTAAAAAATATTTTATTTATCATTTTTTATTTTTTTATGAGTGTATTACCTGCATATATGTAAGTGTACCCAGGTTGTGCAATGCCCATAGAGTTCAGAAAAGGGAGTTGAATCCCCTGGAACTGGAGTTACAGATGGTTGCCATGTGGGTGCTGGGAATTGAACCTGGGTCTTCTGCAAGAAAGGCCAGTGCACTTAATTGCTGAGCCATCTCTCCAGCCCCCTGTGATTTTTATATTATAAGGAATAACAGCTTAGACTTGTTACCAGCAAAGCCTACTGCCTGAAGCAAGTGGGTCCATCTTATTGTCACTGTATGTTGTTCATGTGTGATAGTAATTAAAGCTTCTATGCCCATCCAAAGGTGTCATCTGATATAGAATAAATAGCTGCAATACAGGATAATGATCATCAATCACAGAACACCGGGGCAGCAAAAGAGCAGAACCTTCATAAGATTGTTGGTAGCATTTACTGAAACACAATAGATGTATGTCCTGAAACCCATTCATTTCACTCCTAGTTGAAATAATGTAAGGGAATAGCAAGTCCACCAGCAGACATATTAAGGAACATTTGTAGGAACATTATCTATAGTTGTTAACAGAACAGAAGCTATTATATGCCCATTAATAAAAGCTGAATTTAAAGAGAGTAGTTTATACAATTGAATGCTATAAAGCAGTAAAAATTACTTAACTTCAATTACATAGGCTATAAAGCAGTAAAAAATTACTGAACTATAATCATATTGATGTATTTCATAGAATAAAGTTGAGTTAAAGAGGAAACAAAAATTCCTTATTTGTTTATTCAGTGTGTATGTATGAGAGAGAGCAAGAACAAGTGAGCGAGCGAGTAAGAGAGAGAGAGAGAGAGAGAGAGAGAGAGAGAGAGCGCATAGCATGCATGTGGAGGTCTTATGCATGTGGAGGTCAGAAGTCAGAAGTCAGTTCTTGTCCATCATGTTTGTCCAGGGGCTCAAACACAGGTGTCAGGCTTGGACCCACTGAACCATCCATCTTGCCAGCCCTATTTATAGTGTTAGAAATCAAAACAGTGGCTCCCCTGGGAAGATGTTAATGAGTAGACCAGATAGGAAAAGGGACTTCTGCAGTTGGGTGCATATTATGAGTGAAATGACACAAGTGTATTTGTTCTGAATATTCATAGAGCTCTCCATTTAAAATTTGCATGCTTTTTTATGCATGTCATGTTCCACAAATGTTTATATTAAATAAAAAGTATTTCTTGAATGGGCAGCAGGCCCCAATCTTAGCCAAAGAGCTAGTGACAGCTGATTACTGCTGGGGGAGTAAGAGCTGATCTTCTTAAAGGGAAAGGACTGA